GCATAGTTTCCGCACAAACATCCTGCGAATGGCTCGTATCGGCCTTATTTGATTCCTGTTAATAAATTTAATTAGGTCTAAATTAAATCTAAATAAATATAAAGTAAATCTAAATAAATAGAAGTAAATATAATAATATATAAAAGTATAAATTTACATAGATCTACTTTGTATCTATTTAGATTTACTTTGGATCTAATTAGATTTATTTTTTCATTTTTTTATTTTGTTAAATTTAAGTTAGATCTAATCCATTTTTTTCCGGGTTTATACAACTTTATAAAATAACTCTCTATAATAACTTCTCATATAATTGGTTTTAAATAAAAAAAAACATAGCTTAAGAAATAGTATTTCCATGAATTACGTATCTATTGATTGTTAAATACAACAAGACGATTGTGATATATACATAATCTTTATTAATTAGTGAATCTTCATTAATTAATGCTGCTGGACTGGAAACAGCAGATTGTTTTGAATCAATCTCTGATGTAAGATATTTATCATTAATATCACTGCTAATTATTGTTTCAATTAATGCTGCTGGACTGGAAACAGCAGATTGTTTTGAATCAACCTCTGATGTAGGATATTTATCATTAGTATCACTGTTATTTATTGTTTCAATTAATGCTGCTGGGCTGGAAACAGCAGATTGTTTTGAATCAACCTCTGATGTAGGATATTTATCATTAGTATCACTGCAAATTATTGTAATATTTAATTGCAATTTTAACAAATAGTTCAGATTAAATTAATAAATCAAGTGCATTTTTATTTACCTGTTATCAACTTCTTGTTCAGTATTCTTTTCACGTAACGATTTACTACTTGTAAGTATTATTGTTTGTTGTATCGGATGAAGTAAACTGGGAACAGCATCAGGTAGTAAGTATCTTTTTGGCACATCTTGTATTACCTTATATCTAAAGTCAGTGTCTGTGAAATGGTCACTGCAAACAGAACTGCTTTTAGAAACTCGATGTCCTATTATACTGATCCACTTTTCTCTCAATTCTTCTTTTTGAGGAACACCAAATATACATATAAAATATACATATAAAATATACATGTAAAATATACATATAAAATATACATGTAAAATATACATATAAAATATTAACATATAAAATTAACATATTACATATTTTTGGAAGATATTTAAAAAGACGTATTACTTAATAAAAAGCTACATTTTTTATTATTTTACCAATCAAATCAACAAAAAATAAGAAATCAATATTATTTGCTTTACTAAAGATATACTTAACCTTCAAATTTCCATAAATTGATAGTTTTACTGTACTTACCGATGGAAAGAAACATCACTTCAAACACCATATTTCAATTTGCAAATACAGCAAGACTGCACCATCATTAATTATATCACTTTTTAACTTTTTATTATCAAACCGATTTATAACAGCGCCTGCCAAGTCTCTCACAAGTCTATGCATGCTACATGCATGCTATCACCTTTCACTATCACTCTCTCTCAATTGACTCTCGGACGTCTATCTTCGTTGCTCTCGGCCACCAATTAACACACTGCTAGAAAAGAAGAGAATTACTCCACGACTATTTCTGTCTCTTTTAATGAAAGTTCCTCTTACACGAATGTTCCGTCTATTATATCAAAAACTCATGTGGAATGTTTTAAAATAAAAAATATTTAATGTAAAAAAACTTGGAGCGGCTGCACTTTGTCTTTACCCTGATAGCCAAGCATGTTTTGTAAAATCATGTAATTTAATGCTGAGCAGAAGTTTTCGACTAATTGCTGTATATTTGCTGAAAACGTAATCCATAGTCATACATAAACAACAACACTAAGGCAAATTTGAGACATTTTGTGTCAGTAGATTCAGAGCAAACGAAGAGCAACTGTTGCTCATTACGTTGTCAATAAAATGACTTCTATTTATGGACAACTCTTTGTTTTGTCTTTCGTTTTCGGCAAGATAGGAGCAACATGATGGTAACAAAACAAGACACCGATGTCTGTACTTCTGTCGTATAAATGTTAAAAACTATTGATATATATTAATTTTATCTTATAGCTTATAAACCGTCGAAAACGAACAATTC